CGTGAAACGAACTAGGGTCCGAGCAAAGGAGACCACGACCCAAGGGGACGATAAGAGAAAAAGACAAGAACACGAATCAAGGTCAGAGAAAACACGACCACGACCCAGGGGCCGAGAAAACGAAAAAACGAGACAACGAACCAGCGCCCGAGAAAACGAGACCACGACCCAGGGGCCGAGAAAACGAGGAAACGAGCAAACGAAACGGGACCCAAGAAACCGAAACCACGACCCAGGGGCCGAGAAAACGAGAAATCGAGAAAACGAAGCAAGGTCAAAGAAAACGAGACCACCACGGGGGGCCGAGACAACGAGAACACGATACCACTAACCAGCGCACGAGAAAACGAGACCACGACCCAGGGGCCGAGAAACTGAGAAAACTAAAAAACGAACCAGGGTCAGAGAAACCACAACCACAATCCAGGGGCCGAGAAACGGAGAACACGAGAAACCGAACCAAAGTCCGAGAAAACGGAGCCACGATCCAGGGGCCGGGAAAACAAAAAAACGAACGAGGGCCAGAGAAAACGAGACCACGACCCAGGGGCCGAGAACACGAGAAAACGAGACAACTAACCAGGGTCCGAGGAAAAATGGGACCACGACCCATGGGCCGAGAAAACAAAAAAAAACGAGACCACGAACCAGGGCCCGAGAAAACAACACAAAAACCCAGAAGCCGAGACAACGAAATAACGAGACAACGAACCAGGGTCCGAGAAAACGAGACCACGACCCAGGGGCAGAGAAAACGAGTAAACGAGACAACAAACCAAAGTCCGAGCAAACGAGACCACGACCCAACGGCACAGAACACGCGAAAACGAACCAGGGTGCGAGAACGCACGACCACGACCCAGGGGCCGAGAAAACGAGAAAACGATACAAGGAATCAGAGCCCGAGAAAACGAGACTACGAACCAGGCGCTGAGAAAACAAGAAAACGAGAAAACGAACCAGGGTCCGAGAAAACGAGACCACGACCCAGGGGCCGAGAACACAAAAACGAGAAAACGAAACAGGCCCCGAGAAAACGAGACCACGACCATGGGGCCGAGGAAACAAGAAAACGCGAAAACGACCCACGACCCAGGGGCCGAGAAAACGAGAAAACGAGAAAACAAACCAGTGCCCGACGAAACCACGATCCAAGGGCCGAGATCACCAGAAAACGCGTGGTTCGAGAAAGCGAGACCACGACCCGGGAGCCGAGAAAACGAGAAAACGAAGCAGGGCCAAAGTAAACGAGACCACCACCCGGGGGCCGAGACAACGAGTAAACGAGAAAACAAACCAAAGTCCGAGCAAACGAGACCACGACCCAACGGCACAGAACACGCGAAAACGAACCAGGGTGCGAGAACGCACGACCACGACCCAGGGGCCGAGAAAACGAGAAAACGATACAAGGAATCAGAGCCCGAGAAAACGAGACTACGAACCAGGCGCTGAGAAAACAAGAAAACGAGAAAACGAACCAGGGTCCGAGAAAACGAGACCACGACCCAGGGGCCGAGAACACAAAAACGAGAAAACGAAACAGGCCCCGAGAAAACGAGACCACGACCATGGGGCCGAGGAAACAAGAAAACGCGAAAACGACCCACGACCCAGGGGCCGAGAAAACGAGAAAACGAGAAAACAAACCAGTGCCCGACGAAACCACGATCCAAGGGCCGAGATCACCAGAAAACGCGTGGTTCGAGAAAGCGAGACCACGACCCGGGAGCCGAGAAAACGAGAAAACGAAGCAGGGCCAAAGTAAACGAGACCACCACCCGGGGGCCGAGACAACGAGAAAACGAGAAAACAAACCAAAGTCCGAGCAAACGAGACCACGACCCAGGGGCCGAGAAATCGAGAAAACAAGGAAAACTGAGCAAGATCTGAGAAAACGAGACCACGACCCAGGGGTCGAGAAAACGAGAAAACGAGAACACGGACCAAAGTCAGAGAAAATAAGACCGCGACCCAGGGGCCGAAAACACGAGAAAACGAGAGAACGACCCAGGGGCCGAGAAAACGAAAAAACGAGAAAAGGAATCAGAACCCGAGAAAACGGGACTACGAACCAGGGTCCGAGAAAACAAGAAAACAAAAAAAAAAACGAACCAGTGGTCGACGTTATTCCCCAATGCGTTCTCTAACGCTGCGGTGCGCACCTGTCTGCAGGGATTCAGCAATTTTGCCATAACCCCAGGCCCACCTTCTGCTCCGGAAAAGGAAGGTAGCGGGGGGACAGCTTCGAAGCCCCCCCCCTCTTTAGCCAGTGCCCCCCTAGCTTAGAAACCCTTGCAAAACATAGGGGGGTGGGGTAGCTTCGGAAGCTCCCGCCTCCCCCTTTGGAAGGGAGGGGGGGTGGGTGGTAGCTTGAAGCTGGGGCCCCCTTTCCTTATTCCCGGCGCTGCGGGCGCGCTCCTTCCCATCTAGGGAACCCAGAAAAGACATACGCGCCTAATAGCCACGTACATGAATATATCCCCACCCCAACCCCTGTTCGCGAGGCCGCCCTCGTGTCACGAACGTCTGCGTAATGCGCTTTCTGGAAGCACATGTATGAATAGACGCGCACGTCTTTGCTTCGCTCCAGGTCCTCTCTCGCTCTCGCTCTCACTTGCGGCCGCTGCGCCTCTCCGGGAAGTCGCGGCCGGCGCCGAACTCCTCCTCCCTCCATCCTTCCCGGCTCCCAGGCCCTGACTCCCAGTCTCCCCTCCAACCTCCCTGCGGCCCTCTGCTTCCTCTCTCCGTCCTCGTCGTCGTCGTCGTCGTCCTCCTCCCGTTCCTTCTCCGCTGGTGCTGCTGCTCCTGCTCCTGCTCCTCGCCCCCTGCTGGTGCTGCTGCCCCCGCCCCCCGTCATAGCCCCCCTTCCACACGTCCTCTGTATGAGTCGGACTCCCCACTCCCCCGAGGACACTGCGCCCTCCCAGCAGCTGAAATTTTGGATGGATTTTTCAGTCGGAATGAATTCGATGTTTCAGAACGGTGCTCCCGCTGCAGCGTGGACCTGATTTGAGGAACGGCGCTTTGCTCCCTTCGTTCAGCATGGCGCTCTGGCCCCCGCGCGGGCCACTATTCTGGATCCGACCCCCTTCCTCATCGGTGTCTCCCCGCTCCTTTCCCCTCCTCCGCCTTCCCCTGGTCCTCCTGCTCTGCCCGCTCCTGCCATTCCTGCTCCTGCTGCTCCTCATCCTCTTCCTCCTGCTCACCCGCCACCTCCTCCTCCAGTGTACAAAGCTCCCCTATCCTGACTGCGCATAGCAGGACGGTGTCACTTTGGAGGTTCCAAGTCCACTACGACACCCGTAGGCGGATCGATACAAAAACAGCGCAATGGGAAGGGATGGGTGAGAGGGGTAGGATGTCTGATATTGAGCGAGCGCCCCTCTCCCCTCCCCCCTTCCCCCGTCTCGCCTCCCGCCTTCCACCTCCTTCCGACCCCCTCCTGCCTGACTCCTTAGTCCTCCGACTGAGCAAGTTTTCTTTACGAGCGCCGCGTCCTCTCAAACCTCACCGCACCTCGTTCTCATCCTGCTCCTCATACGGTGCTGCTGCTCCTGCTTCTTGTCCGGCTCCCCCTTCCCCTCTCCCTCCAACTCCTGTCACCAACATCCCCCATCCCGCCTCACGCGCCCATTGCTTCCACGTAGCGCTCGGGAGGCACGTCCCACAGCTGGAGCTTCAAGTCTTTATCCTAATAGATGGTGAGAGAATTCAGACAGAGTGCATTTGCGATTTGTGGCGTTCACGGCCACATTGGATGTGCAAAATCTCATGCCATGGACTGGTCCAATCAGCCCCGCCTGGCGGCCCGACAACTTGGTCAGGCACGCAGACCAAACTATGATCAAACGTACTGCTTCGACAATACTGGAACTTCGCCGGGTACGTCGCAAACCTGCCCGCCGAGAAGTGGCTATCTCGTGTTCTTGCATGGTCACCTGCCGGAAACAGGTGCCAAGGGAGACCGCGGAAAATGCGGGAGTCCGATGTCCAGAGCTTCTGCGACAAGTACGGGATCGGTGACTGGAGAGTAGCATGACTGGAAGTTTTCCTTCACCACATGAGCGCCTGCTAGTTTTCACCCGCCTGTGCCCTAAGCGGCCGCCCTTTCGCGGGCATGCAGGCTTGACCTTGACCTTGACCTCACGGCTACATTGGCATTGCACAGTGTTGCGACCAGTGCAGTGGCACATGGCTGGGGTTGTGGGGTCATCATGCAATTCAATTGTTTCGCTTGTCTGGTTACGCAGTCGCTGTCCTGGAACTTCGCACGTACACTTGTCACATCGCCAATGCCCCACACCATGTGACGCCAACCGATGCTGCTTGCTTTTTGCCGCTCGCCAGAATCGGTCGCGACGGGTGCACGGCTATCAACTTTCGCTGCTTTGTACGTGCTCTGGAGGCGGTGTGCGGATGCAATTCTCCAGTGTGGGAATCGAGGTACTTGCCAGCCGTGCTCCGTCGGCTGTGCGGCGGCCTGCTTCTGCATGCGGGGCTCACGCTGTTGTATCGCTTGGGGTGCTCTGTGGCCCGTGGTTGACGTCGTCTGGGCGCCGTGAAGCGAGAAGGCCGTCCAACTATCGGCGCTACCGCTTCAAGGAGATCTCGGTGCTCGGCCTCGTGCCCGCGGTCTCCAGGGAGTTCAGTGGGTGGCGATGTTGACCATTCATCTGACCCTTGCGCGGCCCCGAACCACCTTCTCAACTCTCTCCCCTCCGACCTGCTGGCTGACTCCTCACTCCTCCGACCGTGCAGGCTTTGCTCACGAACACCGCTCCTCCTCCTCCTCCTCCTCCTCCTCCTTCTCCTCCTTCTCCTCCTTCTCCTCCTCCTCCCCTCCCCCTCCTCCTCCTCAGCGCTCCCCCTCCCTCCTACCTCTCTTCTTCCTCGTCCTCCTTCTTCTTCCTCTTCCTCTTCCTCCTCCTCCTCCTCTTCTTCCTCCTCCTCCTCCTCCTCGACCAGCCCTTCTAAGGGGCCGCGGAGCCCGCAGGGGCCTCCAGTCGGTCGTGGCGGTACAACAGAGCCGTGCCGACCGCGGCCTCCGGGTCCGGCCGCCGCGGCGGGGGGAAGGGAAGGAGGGAGGAGACGGGAGGAGGACGAGGAGGAGGAGCCCACGAGGAGGATCGAGGGCCTGTCACTTCCTCCCCCCCTCCTTCGAGGGTCGGCTTGCTGCTCCCCGCGCCAGTTCCAGGTTCCAGTCTCCAATGACATAATCCTGCTTTCTGCTTCCAAGTGTAAATTGTGGAAGTCCGCGCGAAGGGGGGGAGCCGAAAAGGACCCGGTTACCACCCCCGAATTGCGTGCTCTGAATTCCTGCGGGGCCGTGGGACACGCAAAAATAAATGAGATTCGCGCTCCCGACGCAATCCCTCGCGAATGACCCTGAATTCGCGCTCCCGAGGCCACGATCCTTTGGAAATTGCACCGCAGTTGCGTCCCCGAAGCCACGATCCGTTGCAAAATGCATCGTATTCGCGCCCACGAGACCACGATCTCCTGTAAATTACACTACGTTCGCGCCTCTGGGGCCGAGGCCCCTTGTAAATGACGCCACGTTCGTGCCGCCGAGGCCACGACCCATGGTAAATTACACCGCGTTCGCGCTCCCGAGGCCACGATCCCTAGTGAGTTACGCGACGTTCGCGTCCCCGAGGCCACGATCATTTATAAATTGCACCACGTTCGCGTCCCCGAAACCACGATCCCTGGTAAAATCCGCCGACCCTGTCGGCGTGTGTGAACGGCTTTTCCGTTCGAGTTCGGCTTTTCCGTTGGAGTCGTCGTCTCCGTCCTCCTCTGTTCCATTTGCCTGGCCCCTCGTACGCGCCGTCCAAATTCAAAATTGAACAACATCGGAGTGGAATCGAAAGGAAACCCCTTCCCTAAATTTGATCCCTTCCCCACGCCGGGGGGGGTCCTGGGAGGTCCCCGGGGGTCCCGGGGGAGTCCCGGGGGGAGTCCCGGGGGGAGTCCCGGGGGGAGTCGCCACGCAGATAAACTTTCCCCGCGCGCGCTGGCCCCCGCTCCGGCCCCTGACCCGGACACGGTTCCCGGCCCCGGCGCCCCTGCCCCGACCCGGCCTTAGCCCCTGGCCGTGGCCCCAGCCTTGGCCCCAGCCTCGGCCTCGGCCCTAGCCCTGGCCCCAACCGCGGCCCCAGCCCAAGCCCTGACAGAGCCCAAGGGGCCCCCAAGAGAACCCCAAGAAATGCTCCACAGCGTCGTCGTCGTCGTCGTCGTCGTCGCCGCTGCCGCCGTCGCCGCCGCCGCCATCGTCGTTGCCGTCCCCCGTCAAAGTCGGTGGCGCCGGCCGCTGGGCCTTCCCAGAGCACCGAACTCGCGCACCCGAAACCACGATATCCTGTAAATTGCGCTACGTTCCCGCCGCTGGGGCCACGATCCCTTACAAATTACGCGACAGTTGCGCGCCCGAGGCCACGATCCTTCGCAAATTACGCCGTGTTCGCGTCCCCGAAGCCGATGATCCGAACGTCCCCGAGGCAACAAACGTTGGTACATTACTCAATGTTCGCGTCTTCGAAGCCATAACCTTCGCAGATTACACAACTCTTGCGCCCCCGAGGCAACAAACCGTGGTACATTTCAGCCTGGCGAAGGACCTGCATATCGCAAGTGAGAGTATCGTCATCGGTGGCGCTCCCTATGGGGCCACGAACCGCGCGAGGGGCGTGCCGACATGTGCGGCGGGGTACTACGCAATGCGAGCGAAAACGATAGGTCTGAGTGCGAGAGACTGAGCGCGGGTGAGTCTGAACGCGAGTGAATCTGATTGTGAATGAATCTGCGTGCGAGTGAATCTATTTGCGTGAATGCGAGCGTGGCTGCACCTAGTACGCATGTATATGAGTGTGAACGGTTTGGGTCGACCTGGCTCTGAGTGCTCGTGGCGCCGAGCGTGGCTGCCACAAGGGGCTCCCCCGGAAACCTCGACGGCAGCGCCCGCGCGCCGCGACGCCCATGTCGGCGCGCGCCTCTCGAGGATCGCGCCCGCTTCCTTCCCGAATTGACCCCCCTCTTTGCCCCTGCGTTCCAAGGTCCAAGGCTTGCGAGCGCAGCGCGGCCTGGGGCCCCCGCGACGCGCGCTGGTCGCCCTGAAGAGGGTTCCAGCGACGCGCGCGGATCGTCCGCTGCGCGGGGCAAAGAGAGCTAGCTGGCTGGCTGATGGCGGGCAAGGATCCGGCCGTTGGACAGAGCGACGCCGGGCGAGCGAGGCGCCGGGCAGAGCGCCGCGCGGAATTCCCGCGACGCGCGCTGGTCGCCCCAAGAGGGCCCCAGCGACGCGCGCGGGTCGTCCGCGGCGCGGAGCGAAGAGGGCTAGCTGGCTGGCTGACGGCGGGCACGAATCTGGCTGCTGAGCAGAGCGACGACGGGCGAGCGAGGCGCCGGGCAAAGCGCCGCGCGGAGTTCCCGCGACGCGCGCTGGTCGCCCCGAGAGGATCCCAGCGACGCGCGCGGGTCGTCCGCAGCGCGAGGCCCAACAGTTGGGCAGTCGAGAGAAGGCGCGGCTCGGGCGGGCCGCTCCTCGGGTCAAGCCTCGCGGATAAACTCAGTGAAGCCCAGCTCCTTGGCGAGGGCCGTCGCCTCCCTCCTGCGCCGCTTCGTGCGCGCCGCAAGCTGCTCCAGCTGCTTCCGCAAGCCCTCTGGCGGCCCTGCCGGGAAAAACTGGACGCGCGGCGCCCGCGTGAGCAGGAGGTTCTCGTCGCGGGTGGCGCGCGAGAGCAGCGCATTGAGCTCCAGCCGCCAGTCGTCGTCCCTTCTTGCCGTTCCCGACCTCGCGGCGGCCGCAGTCCAGGATCGCGCCTGGGAGACGTCGACCGAGGGGACAGCGCGCCGGACAGCCGACGGCCCCGAGGCGAGAGGCCACAGGGCCGACAGATGGTCTGGAGCTCCCTATGGGGCCACGAAGCGTGTGAGGGGTGTGCGAAAATGGGGCGGCGCCGCCCAAGAACTGTGCCACTGGGACCTTAGGTGGAGCTCCCTATGGGGCCACGAAAACATGTGAGGGGTGTGCCAACATGGGGCGACGCCGCCATGCGCAGTTCGCCACTGGGACCTGAGGTGGAGCTCTCTATGGGGCCACGAAACGTGTGAGTGGTGTGCCAAAGTGGGGCGGCGCCGTCATGCGGACTGCGCCATGGGGCCCTCTTGGGCCGTCTCGGCGCCCTCTTGGGGGCCTCTGGGGCTGTGTTGGGGCGATCTTCGGGGCCTCTGGGGCCAACTTCGAGCGTCGGGAAACCGAAATGGCAGAAACGGGAAAATCCATCAAACGCTTCTGGAAAATCAATGATGTTTGCCTATTGGGGCCCTTTGTGGGGATGCTCTTGGAGACCCCTTGGGCCGTGTTGGAAGCCTTTTGAAAAGTCTGGAGGCCATCTTGGGCGTGTTAGAACGATACTTCGGCGACTCTGAACCCTCTTGGAGGCCTCTAGGGGTCCTTTTTAAATGTTGTTGGGATGTCTTGGGCCGTCTGGGGGCGTTCCTGGCGGCCTGGTCCCGCCATGCGCTGTCGAGGGCCCCGTCTGGCCCACCCCCCGCTTCGTTTCCAGGGATACACACATATGCATACATATATATATATGTATATATGAATGTATGTTTGTGTAAGTATGTATGCAAGTATGCATGTATGCCTATATGTATGTATGTATGCGTGTATGTATGTGTGCGCATCTGTATGTACGTATGTATGTATGTGTGTATGTATGTATGTCTGTCTGTCTGTATGTCTGTATGTCTGTATGTATGTATATATATATATATAGATATATGTATGTATGTGTATATAGAAATATGTCTGCCTGCCTGTCTGTCTGTCTGTCTGTCTGTCTGTCTGTCTGTCTGTGTCTGTCTGTGTGTGTCTGCCTGTCTGTCTGTCTGTCTGTCTGTCTGTCTGTCTGTCTGCCTGTGTGTCTGTCTGCCTGTCTGTCTTTCTGTGTGTGTGTGTCTGTCTGTCTGTCTGCCTGAATGTCTGCCTGTCTGTCTGTCTGTCTGTCTGTCTGTCTGTCTGTCTGTCTTTCTGTGCGTTTCTGTATGCCTGTCTGTCTGTCTGTCTATCTGTCTGCATGCATGCATACATGCATGCATGTGTGCATGTATGTATGTACGCACGTATGTACGTATATGTTTGCACGCATGCATGCAAGCATGCATGTATGTATGTATGTATGTTTGTATGTATGTATATATACATGTATATTCGTATGTATATACATATATGTCTCAATTTATAGATAGACGTATCGCGGGAGGGTCCGCGCTCAGCGCGGCGGCGCGCGCAGTAGGATAGGATATGATAACTCTGCGGTGAGTGAACTCCCTGTTGCTTGCAAGGTTCATGCGCTAGACACCTGAGTGGCAGACTGGCTGCAGCTTGCCACCTGACCATGAAGGTGGAGAGCACCCTGGCCACGGCAGGCCAGAGGAGGAGGAGGAGGAGGAGGAGGAGCAGCAGCAGCAGGATGAGGTCGTTTTGGCAGCCATTTCTTTGCCTTCTTTGGATCCCTGGGGGGGGCCTCTAGAAGCCCCCCCTGGGGATCTCTGATATCCCCCCCCGCAGATTTTTTTGGGGAGAATGGGGCGACGAAGGATGCTGATGCTGAAGATGATGATGCTGAAGCTGATGCTGATGCTGCTGCTGATGATGCTGATGCTGCTGCAGATGGTGATGATGATGCTGCTGATGATGCTGCTGGTGATTATGGTGATGTTGATAACGCTGGTGAGGCTTACGACGATGTTGACGATGATAATGACGACGAGGGTGGTCATGATGATGATACTGGTGAGGCTGACGATGATGATGGCAATGATGATGCTGCTGCTGATGATGCTGATGATGCTGTCGATACTGATGGTGAATGTGACGATGATGACGTCGATGATGATGATGCTGATGATGGTGATGATGATGGTGATGATCGACCGTACCTGGATGACGATGCTGATGATGATGATGATGATGATGATGATGATGAAGATGATGGCGACGATGCTGATGATGCGGATGCGGGTGTTGATGTTGTTGTTGATGGTGATGCTGATGCTGCTGCTGCTGCTGATGATGGTGATGACGATGATGACGCGGACGATGATGATGGTGGTGAGGGGTGATGCTGATGATGGCGATGCTGATGGTGATGACGGCGAGGAGCAGGAACATAAAAATGACACTGCTCGTCAGAGTGAGCACCAGATGCCGCACACCGTGGTCTCCATTTGCGTTTCCCTCCTGATCATCCTCCTTCTCCTCGTCGTATCCCTGTTTCCTCCATGATTCCTCTCCTCCGCTCAGACCAGCCCACGACACACTGACCACCCCGTAACCCGATGGCACTTCGTTGAGCCTTTTAGAACCTACTGGACCCCCCTGACGCCCAACTCCCCCATCTGGCTACTGTTCCTTCTCCGCCTCCTCCTTCTGGAGGTTCTGCGCGAGAGATGAGGATGCGGATGATGACGACGACAGCGGTGATGGTGATGGTGAGGGTGACGGAGATGGTGATCGTGATGGTGACGGTGACGACGACGATGATGACGATGATGATGCTGATTATGCTGATGATGATGATGAGGACGAGGAGGAGGATTATGAGGATGATGACGACGACGATGACGACGATGACGAAAACGATGATGATGCTGCTGATGACGATGATGATGCTACTGATGATGATGTTGTTGATGTTTGTGGTAATGATGCAGTAGGAAGATGATGATGAGTCCACGTGCCCAGGGAGGAAGATGACGAGGAGGAGGGATGAGTGAGGATGGGGCAGCAGGGAGGAAGAGGAGAGGGGAGGAGGTAAAGGAAAGGCGTGCCCAGGAGGTCTCGGGAGTTTCTCGGAGGGTCAAGAATCAACAACCCTAAACCACAAGATGTCGATCCGCAATCCTCGAACCTCCATCCTCCTCCCCTCTCCCCTCTCCGCTCTCGGGCGCGGCCTGCCCGAGCCCTCCCCTGACGACCCCCTCACCCTCCAGGCTCCCCTCTGGCCGCCTGCCAACGTCTTGGAGAGCGAGGCGAGGGGGTCGCCACGGACGGGGCCGCTGTGCAAGGGGGGCCACCATGCCGCACCTGCTCTCGAGGAACCTACAAACTGCGTTCGAACGAACTTTCGGACGGTCCTCAAGTCTATGATTGTGCCGTCCTGTCCTCGTCGATGCTTCCCGTCCTCTTCTTTCCTCTTCGCTGGTATCTCGGCGCTGGTGCGCCCCTTCCCCTTGCCCGGCGGCCTCCTGGCCCAGCACCCGCAAATTCCGCTCGGCCATGTGCGCCAGCGCGTCCTGCGAGGGCAGGCACGCCGTGTACCCTGCCTTGGAGGGGAGGGGAGGGAAGGGGAGGAATGTGGGGGCAAGGAGGGAGCGGTATTGCCCGGCGAGGGGATGGCAGAGAAGGGAAATCATGTCATCCGAGAAGAGATTACCGATAACAAGCCAGACGAGAGAATTACGTCCGCTGCCCTTCAAGAGGGCTATCCCAACAGCGCCTGGCGAGGCCAACCACAGGCAAGCCTAAGTACTACAAACGCCCGCGTTTCCGCCGCCGATGGCGGAGAGGGAGGGGGGGGGGAAGATCGAGTACGAGCCCAGAACTCCCCTGAAATCCACGCGTCGCATTTTTTTCACAGCGGGCGCCCCTTGCCCAAGTTCGGGCCCTGCGGCCCTCGCAGATCGATGCTGCTCGAGCGATGCCGCGGAAACATGGGGTCTAAGGCTCTGGCCGAGATGTCCCTGGGATGCCATGGTTTGTCGCGACGCCATGTCTCGGGGTCCTCGCGCAGTGAAGAAATCACGACGGGAAGCTTTTGGCCGTCTTTGGCATCGGAAGGCCCTCGCCGGGCCCTGGGACCGTCAAAAACGACTCGGGATGAAAAGCCAGCCCGTGGAAGGGGTCGGGACCTCCTCGGGTCCCCGCTGCGAAACAAAAAAAACACGACGTCGAAGGCCCCTGGGAGGATCGACGCCTTGAGGCGCGGCTGCTGTGAGGCACCCAGGAATCCGCAAGCCTCCAGCATAATCCCAGATGGCGTCCGGAAGCCCCAGAGAACTCCCAGCAGGCGCCCGAGGCCGAGGACCCTTGGGCCCGAAAACCTCCCGAGAGTTATCCCCGAAGACGCCCAGAACCCCGGAAGAACTCCTGGCAGCCACCCAGGGCCGAGGCTCGAGGCCACCCCGACCTTGTGCCGATCGCCCCCGCTGCGGTCCCAGATTTCTGGCGCTCTGATCGTTTTGATGAGTGAGTCCCCAGAGCTCTCGACTCCTTTCCCTGGACCGCTTTGTCATCCCGCATCGTTCTTACGGTGGCCCAACCTGGCGACAAACTGGTCGCCTCGTTCTCTATTCGAGGCGCCCGAGGTCTGGAGTCTGGGGAGCGGGCGTGAGGGCAGGAGCAGTCAGCATGGAATCGGGAAGTCGGCTCAGATCGGAACGCGTGTCGGATTGGCCTGCAATCAGTACGGAGTCGAGACCAAGCTGGATCGGCCGCGCCAGGATGCGCAACAGCGACACGGAGGCGTCTGGCCACATCGGGCCCACGAACATCGGAATCGAATCGGATCGAGCCAGCCGAAACCGACGTCGACACCGATCAGATCGAGAAACGGCCCCTGGGGCGGCGCAGCGCGCGCCCGCCGCGCGGCCTCCTCACAAAAGCCCCTCAGCCAGGCCGGCAGCCGGTGCCGCTCGAACACCCCGCGGCCGTCTTCGGGCGCGGATGCCTCGAACTGGACCTCCTCGGGTGGCGCCGAGGTGACGATCCTCAAGGCGTGCGTCAAAGCCAACGCGTGCCTGTCCCTGTCCCCTCAGATCTGGGCGACGTTGAAAATGTGCGAGGGTTGCTTTTGACCCTCTCGGCCTCCGGAGGCAGTTTCCCAGCGCTTGGGCCGACACAAAACTACTCGGTATGAAAACCTGGCCCTGGGGAAGGACGCAATAAAACAACAGCGACGTCGGAGGAGAGGGTCTAGCGAAGCACTTCCAATGCGACGCGTGTGGTGCCACGAGGGCCGACGCAGGCCGCGCGCTGTCTCGGTGGAGCCCGGGTGAAAAGCCACGTTGAGCTACAGGCGTGCACACGTCCTGAGGATCATCGACTGGACGGCGACGGCGGTGGCGGCGGGGACGACGGGGGCGTGGCGGGGCTCGCGCCAGCGCCGCCTAGCCACTCGGCTGTCCTGCTCTTTCCCTCCTCCTTCTCCTCCTCCTCCTTCTGCTCCTTCTCCTCATTCCCTCCCTTCCTCCTTCCCTCCCCCCGTCCTCCTCCCTCCTCCTCCCCCCTCCTTTCTCCTCCTCCTCCTCCTTCCTCCTTCTTCTTGCTCCTCCCTCCCCCATCCATGTCCCTTCTAGATAAGATCTCTGTCGCACCCCTGCACGTGTCGGTATAGCGGGACGGGCGTTTGACATGAGCCTTGCTCACTACATATGCTCCTCAAACTTGAACATTGCAACAGGGTGCGTTTTCAACATGTGGTTTCCGCATCTCGGAAGTTGGCAACCGACGGATCGATGGGGTCGTTTTCAAAACATGGCTCGCGCCTAAGCGCCGCGCACATTCGTCTTCACAGTTCGCAGCTGTTACAAAGATGCAGGGGACGTCTTCAACATGTGGCTCTCGCATTATCATCGCGTGCATTCGCCTTTACAGCTCGCAACTGTTACACAGATGTAGGGGGCGTGTCTCTCGCCTGAACGCCGCGCACATTCGTCTTAAAAGCTTGCAGCAATCACGCAGATGGAGGGCGGTTGGTTTTCATAATGTGAGTCTCGCCTGGGCGCCAAACACATTCGGCTGAACGCTTTGCAGCTGTTGCTCGGGTGGGTAGCGGTGGACTCAACATGGGGCTCTCGCTTTAGCGCCGTGCACATTCGTTTTAAGGTTTGCAGCAGCTACATGGATGGAGGATAGCTCTTTTAACAGTGTGGTTATCGCATTGGCGCCGCGCACGGTCGTCTTACACATGTTAACCACACAAACATGGATGGAGGGCGGCTCTTTTTCAACATGTAGCTCCTTCAAGCAACCTCGTCACATTCAACGACCAGGGGTAAGCAGACGTTGCAACTGTATGGGTGGATGGCTTTTCCTTTTCAAACTGGGGCTCTCGCTTAAGCTCCGCACGCGCTCGTATTAAGCATTCGTAGCAACTGCACGATTGGAGGACGGTTGGCTTTCAAACTTTGGTTCTCGCTTGAGGCTTCGCCTACTTAGGCTGTAGAAAACCACACTCTTTCTTACACGCGCAGCGACTATCCACAGGACCGCTCAATGCACAAGGGTACATTGGGGGATCGGTGAAAGTCCTTATTTGGCCACGACACGTGTGAGGGGTGTGCCGCAATGGGCGGGGCGACGCCATGCGGACGCAACCACTGGGGCATTCGGTGGAACTGTATATGGGGCCACGCAATGTGAGGGGTGTGTGCCGAGATGGGCCCGAAGCACCATGCGGTTGCAACCACTGAGGCCCTCGGTGAAACTCGAAGGATGCCTCCCCCCTTCCCACGAAACGTGAGATGGAACGTGCCGACATGGATCCGAGGCGCCATGCAAACCGTGCCACTTGGGCTCTCGGCGGGGCTCCCTATGGGGGACAACGACACGGGGCGTTCCGAAATGGCCCCAATTGCCATGCGAACCTTTGCTACTGGAGCCTTCGGTGGCGCTCCCTATGAGGTCGCGAAACGTATGAGGGGTTTTCCGACATGGACTTGCGGTACCACGCTGACCCTGTCACTGGGTTCTTAGTGTGAGGAGTGCGCCGAAATAGACCCGAGGCGCTATGCGAACCTTGCAACTGGGGCCTTCGGCGGAGTTCCCTGTGTGGCCACAAAATGTATGAGAGGTGTGCAGACATGTACCCGAGACGCTGTGCGAACCCTGCCACTGGGGCCTTCGGCGGAGCTCCCTATGGGGCCGCGCACGTGTGAGGGATGTGCTGCGACCTGCTGCCAGTTTGGAGCCTCAGCCAGGCCGCGCCCACGCACCCACCGCAGCCTCGCTGCGTGTGCGCCCCCGCACCTAGCCCTCTCCCGCGGCCGCCTCCTCCTTCCCTCCTTTTCTCTTGCATGCGGGCCAATTCGCGACTCCGCGCCCCAATGTCGTTCGGACGCGCGTGCGGATTACCGCTGCCACGCCGAGACGGAAAACGTATGTCTTTGTGTGTGTGTGTGTGGGTGCGTGTGTGTGTGTGTGTGTGTGTGTGTGTGTGAGAGTGCGTGTTTTTGTGTGTGTGTGTGTGTGTGTGTGTGTGT